GTTAAAAATTTCCCCTATTTTTTTTTTTTTTTTTTTTTGCTTTCACACTTTATTGTTGTGACAGTTAAGCATATTTCTCAGACAAATTCCTTTATCCTTTTCTTTTATTTTGGGGTCAAATGTGATTTGTTTTCATGCAATGAAATGGCACTTTCAAAGATTTGTTATTTTTTAAATTTATTTACTTACATAGGCTATAAATGAATATGACTATGCACATACACAAATATACAAACATTTTTTTTTCTGATGAACAACATATAATAAAGATAATTCAAAGATGAAAGAAATAGACAAAAAAGTGTCTTTTAAGTGTCTTTTATTTCATTGAATATATAATAGACAGTATGTATATTTACTTACTTTAAATTCCAATTTTCTTCTACGTTTTGTTTTATTTTGGGGTCAAGTGTGATTTGTCTTGAGGTAAAATTATACAATCAGATTCCAAACATTTGAACCATGAAATGGCAATTTGAAATGTTTATTTTTTTTATAGACAAAACATGTCTTTTAGTAAATATATTGTTTGTTTTTATTTCTTAGCATATAATATATATTTACTTGATACTTTTCGTTAACCTTTCAGCCTTTTCACATTCTTTTTCTTTTATTTTGGGGTCAACTGTGATGTGTTTTCATGCAATTCACAATTTTTTAGTTATTAAAGCTCCTATGTAATCTTTTAAATATGATTAATTACCTGCTTCTCTGTGAAGAGGGTTGTTTGCCATATTTCAAAGACCTTAACACTTGTACATGTGAATAAATGCTGTGTTCTCAAGGTTGTGATTATTGGTTAGGCATTAAGATTTAGTTAATCAATTCTAAATGTATGTTTATGACAAGGAAGAGGTGGATTTGCATGATTAGCTTCAGCATGCAGCTCTGCGGTGCATGTCATCTGTACAAAAACAAACCATAATGTGCTGTTAAAGGTTCCGTTCACCCAATGTTTTTTTCTTTATTCTATTGTCATTCCTTGTCAAACCTATTTGAATACTTTTTTTTCTGTGGAACACAAAAGATTTTGTTTTGAAGAAGATTCATGTTTTTCTTTCCTACAATCTGAAAGCGAATAGGGACAGATGGAAAAAATGAAATCAAAATAATCAACTGTACATGTCTCTACAGTTTCACTGTGTGCAAAGTTTTGTGTTCCAAGGAAGAATCTGTTCATGCTGGTTTGCAATTACAGTACATAAATGATGACAGAATGTTAATTTTTGGGTGGACTGGTCCCTTTAAGATTATGACGTCAAACCTAGTTCACTAAAATCAATCAAATGTTTCAAATGTTGTGCTCTTTTGTCAGGCAAAGTGGCTGGAGACATTTTCCAGGACAATGCCATCCTATCCAACCCCGTAGCAGGACTCATGGTGGGGATTCTGGTCACGGTTGTATATATATATATATATATATTTATTTTTTTACACAAATGAATATATATATACTTTTCAATTTTGCTGTGAAACATCCCCAAATTAATATAATTTAAAGGCAAAGACTTTAAATACACAAAGTGCCTTCAGAAGTCAATATATTGTTTGTTTTTACTTGCCTACAGTCAGTCTTTCTAAGTTAGATATTGTTTTATGTACTTGTGCAGACAGACGTAAAATAAGGACTTGTGTTTAAAGGCCATTAAACTATCTTGGCACCTTGCCTTTGAAGCCAGCTTTATTTTAAAAGCCTTTTGACATTAGCTTCACTTTTTATTTGATCCAAAACTTCCTTTTAAGTTGTCTGTTAACAAAACAGCTGCGACACGTGGCTTTATTCACAGAGATCATCTGTAAAATGGGAAGTCATGGCCTAATGGTTAGAGAGTCGGACTCGTAACCCAAAGGTTGTGGGTTTGAGTCTCGTACCGGCAGGGATTGTAGGTGGGGGGAGTGAATGTTCAGCGCTCTCTCCCACCTTCAATACCACGACTGAGGTGCCCTTGAGCAAGGCACCGATCCCCCAAC